CGCGTATCCGAGGGCGTTTTACTACTCGCATTGCGAGAAAGTTCTATCTCAAAATAAATTTATAAATTTATAAAACGTTATAAACGGTCTAATTTCATTGCAAAAGAATTAAAAAAATAGTTTTTGGGTTTAACTTCTTGTTATATTCTATGCTGGTTGGTGCCGAGTCTCTGTATACGCTGGAGCGATAAGGTAGAAACTCGACACGGGACAGTTTCGTTCTCGGGTCCGATATTAGTTATTTTGTTAAAAATGATTGAAAATGTAATACTTATACTTCATACTACGTGATCTACATAAAACTGTGATCAAACGATGATTATTCTTATGTGCAAATATTGTTTGTAGAAGAGAAACTTGTTTCTATGTTTTTCATCATGTTTTATATTGATGTTATTCGTATGATTTTCAACAAATATTGAAATACAGTTGACATTACTTCATTTCTTCTTTATTTCGTAATATGCTGCTTTTTGAATTTTGTAAATATCATGTTTAGTTTGGTTTTTATGAGCTTTTTCCCAAACTTTAGCAAATTCGTGAAATCGGCTCGGTATTCTTCGCATAGGTACGATACTTTTGCTCGGCACTAAAAGGGTTAAGTAACAAGAACACGATATTTCTACTTGAACTATATAGAATATCTTTATATGAGAAAATTCTTCCTTCGTATAAGATTATATGTATTTTTGTTTATGTATGAAAATATGAATCTTGAATTCGTAATTTTTTTCCGTGTAAGTCCTATGGCGCACAGAAAAACGTAAGAAATGAGCCAATTTGCCAATCACAGTCGACTTATTCTTCGACCGTAAGGAGAATTACTGCTTACGTTTTTCTGTGCGCTATGAGCACAGCCGCGGGGATGCTCGGTGGATACCGTTCTGGTGGCTCAACGCGATACCGGCGCGGCCCGACAGTAAAAACGACGACGACGAAACGGTGGAGGAGTAAGAGGAGGAGGATGAGAGGAGAGGGCGAAGGGCGAGTAATTCGCCACCTTCCGTTTCATTACAACTGCTTTGCCGAAGATACAGCCGCGAGACACGCAATCGCGCGATCAATCTTGCCCGCTGGTATTCGGTCGGTCAGAACCACCGCCGCTGGGCAAACGCGAAATCGCGCGCGGCCCATTGCGCGCACGTAGATCACGCGTCGTTAATGCGCCGTAACCGCGACGCTAAGTACAATCGACGGTGGACCGACGTGAAATATCGGCTATCTGGGGAGTCTTGCATACGGTGAAAAAAATTCTCACGTCGCTCGTTGCGTGCGTCGATCTGTCGCGTTGAAGTCGAGCGGTTGACTGAAAACGTTGACGCACCGTATATATCTGCCGCGTGTTCGCTAATTTCGACGACAGTGTTGTTTTACGCATATGTTCGAGTGATAATAAGGATATTAATTCGACTGAATTGTCGCGTCGAGAAGAGCGATTCGTCGGGCGATGACGTTTATGAAAGGAACGTGAGTGCTCGCGTTGGCGCACCGTGTGCGCCAGCAAATTTGCGTCGGAGAAATGTCTAGGAAATTCTCTTAGCTGAATTTCTCGACATCATTCTGCGATATTAGTCTGCGGTCTACGATGATTTTAACGCAGTCTGTCGTGTAGAATGAAATAAAGCTATTGCCAAATCGACCAAATATCTCAACGCGTGGCATATTCCGCGTATTAGCAATTTTTGATGAAATTATTATTTTATATATTCATTCGAGCAATAAGGGAGATATAAATTCCGCCAAATTATCGCGTGGGAGTGCAAATTTTCAAGCTATGACGTTTCTCGGCGGGACGCGAGCGTGGCGCACAACGTGCGCCATCATTTAATCGTCAAAACGATACCCACGAAATTTTTTTCGCTAAATTTCTCAACGTGACATTTCATCATTAATTCATGGATAATTGTTTAAGTCACGATAGTCAAATTCAGGACGACATATCGAGAGAGAGAAAAAGCTTAATTTATATTTAACCATCCACGTTCGCTTCTGCTCTGAATTTAACACGACGCGCTGTACTTTTGCATATATGTACGACACTTGTGTGTTCTTACATACATACCGTATTCTCATACTTTATTTAAGCTCTACACGGTGATTCATTGTGTCGGAATGGATTTTTCGTTCATCGATCGAAAAATCTGGTGCGAACGAGATGCGTTCGTTGTGCATTATCGAGCATATTTGTCGAAGATATAATTTTATCTTATTCGGTCAAATAATATAACGAACGGATCGATCCTTCTCGTAATACCACGTGCGGGGTACTAATAGTACCGCCAGTCACCTCGCGATTAATTATACGAGGGCATTAAGTTACCAATTAATCAGAAACGGATTTGATCGAGGCTCCTTATAATTGACGCGCGCGGAACGCGCCGCTGAAGTTCACGAATTCCCATGCACGGTCTCGTCTCGAGCGAGCGAGCGAGTGTGCATGCATGCATGCATTATTATCGACGATATTCGGGGAATATTTTGGCGAAGCCACGCGAACGGCCGCGTATTTTCGCGAGAGTTCGCGAGAGCGATTCGATTTTCCGGCACCTCCGTGTACATAATCCTGAAAAAAGTGTCCCATAAATCACCCGGCGCTCGGCGCCTACCTTCGCTCTCGTCCCCGCCTTTATTCATCCCGGCGGCAAGAAAATCGGCGCGCGCGCGCGAAGAAAATTGCAATCTCGGGTTTTATAAGACGAGGGAAGTGCACCGTCGATAGTTCGTTCCTTCGTTCCGCCGTTCGTTCCTCCGTTCGTCCATTCGTTCATTCGTTCGTTCGCGACCGGCCGTTCGATGGAGCCAATCTTCCTGTTACATAATTCCTGCAGCCAATTACGTAGGAGGAGATCGGTTAGCTCTGCGAACGTAAAATCCACTTTCCGTCCGTATTACGTACTCCCCGTATAGACTGTTCTTCGATCAGCATATGGCACGATAATGCGGCGGTCACAAAAAGTTTTACGATATCGCGTTATGTAATCGACATCCCGCGCGAAGAGTAATTCCCCGGAGGGAAAATATTTCCGCATTTGAGTATTTGAGTTTAACGCGTCGACTCGATCAGCCCGTTTGATATTTAATTTTTCTCCCTACATACCACCTAAACCGGCCCTTTTTAGTATTGGACATTTAATATTTAATGATGGGGAAGTCTCTGTCGACGCTGATCATTGAAATTGACATTGCCTCGCGACGCGTAGACATTTCTTTTCCTCTTTTTAACGCACGGATAATTTGCTACAATGAAAAGGGAGAGAGAAAGAGAGGGCGAAGGAGAGAAGATAGATAGAAAGTGAGAGAGAGAGAGAGAGAGAGAGAGAGATCCCCCATTCTTTTCCGAGAAAGAATTTCACGAGGAATTTACGCTCGTGGCAAAAATGCGTTTGCGGCGTATAGTATATATGTACGTTTTACAGCCCTTGAGCCCCCTAAAAACTCAGCTGCGATCAATCGGCCACGCCCAACAGTTATTAGTGTGGTTTAGCGGCTAATAAAAAGCCGCCGCTTTAATCACAGGCGCGGGGTTGACCGATCGCGGAATCACCTCTCGTCCTCGGCGGCTTGAATTGATATTAATCGACATTAATTGGACGTGCATACACACACACACACACACACACTTTCTCTCTCTCTCTCTCTCTCTCTTTCTCTCTCCGTTACGGCGACTTCGCGTCGCCACATTGTCCGCCGAATCGCACGATTATTTCTGCGGGACAAACAAGCCGGTTATACGATAATTTGCACGGCACGTTTTGCGCCGTATGAAAAATTTAATTTCAATTACATCGCGATCTCATACTCTCTCTCTCTCTCTCTCTTCTCGCGGCATGGCGAAATTTATTTCACCGCTAACCGTTTCGGCAGCAACCGCGCGTCCTTAATTGGCAAACTGTTAACGGTGACGCGGTATTTTCGGCTTAATTCAAATAACCATCCGCCCTATATCTATATATACATATACGTTCGGTTACTGTGTCACGCCGGGTAATTGCTAACACCGCTAAATACCCCATTAATTATCTTCGCCAGTCGCGCGACAAATGGAGTAGCTTCATCAAGCTAGCTAGGAAGCGCTCTCGCGGCAACGAATCACGACGGACGCCGATGTGCGAGTGGTGCGCGCGATTACGGAACGAAGGGCTCTTTCGCGCAGGATCTCTCGAACTCTCGAAATCTCACTCGGAACGGGTGAAAATTCATTCGGTGCAATAATGAAAATACATTGGAAAAGGAATTGCAACTAGAATCGCATGGCGAAAAAATCAGTCAGAACTGTAACAAATGTTATTACGGTATTATTGATCCTTATTTGCATATTGTTACTACTATTTTTTTTTTGTTGGAACAACGACAAAAATAGTATACAAAATGATAGCAAAAGAATTGTAATCAAGGGAACCATTTACGTGGCGAGTGTTATTGCAGTGTTAATAATGGTAACCTTATATGCATATTGCTACTATTATACTTTGTTTTTAGAAGAATAAGAAAATATCATTATAATTTCGAAAATCATTATAATTTCAGTGATATTGGCCATTTTCTTCTCTCAATATATCGCTCGGAATGACAAAAGTGAACTTTTAACTCAAGTATGGAATGAATTATTGATGTATATGAATGTTTCAGTCGCTCAATGAATTTATTTCAGCGAGACCGTGAAGTATATCGTATTCACTTGTCACAATTTCGGACGGAAAGATTTTTCGAACTAAACGATTCAAAGTGGGGAATTTATTCCATGCAAATGAAAAACCACTTGAATTCAAATGATTCGAATGTCACTTTACTTTCGAGTGAAATTCACTGGGAGAAATGTTGAGAGTACATATGACCAGATCCTCTANCTCTCTCTCTCTCTCTCTCTCTCTCTCTCTCTCTCTCTCTCTCTCTCTCTCTCTCTCTCTCTCTCTCTCTTTTAATTATACAGACATGTTAAAAAAATGAGAAAGAAAAGAGAAACGTGTAACGAAGCACATATGTCTGTTTGTCTGTTGCAGTATGCGTACAGTGGCCAGAGGGTAGGTGCTTCCACGACGTGCCGGAGTCGGCACTGCTGAATCTCTTCTTCGAGATCCGTGAGAACTGTCACGGCTTCTCCTGAAGGCAACGACCAAACAGGCAACGACAATGAAAATGACGGCCTCGCGCTCGTCGACCGAGCGAGCGCGCGGATCATCTTCTTCCACTTCTACTTCTTGCCGCGCGCAGTATCGCGAGAGACGATCTCGAGATATAACGTATTTATTTAAAAACTTTCCAACTCCGCCACATACCACGACCAAGCCAAAAAAATCGTATGCATCATGCTGAGTAACCACACTGAGTGTAGAGAAATCAAAAAAAAAAAATGGAAAAAGAGGGACGAGGCTCCCCATTTTTGTTTCGTTCACGCTCGATACATCCCGATATCGCGGAGGTGTTTCGATCTGTCGCGCGAGATATTACTCGAAACGCGCGGTCGAACGAACGGGACCGACGTCGCGAGACTAAAAAGAGCAGTGTGGAATCCAAATTTCTCGATGAAAATATCACGCCCGCGTTCCTACGGAAAGGAGGAAAACTCGCGTGCTTTCGGTCGGTAACCAAATTATTTGCACCGGACGATTCGGCCGATTCGGGATACGTCGCTGTTCAATTAATTAATCACTTCACGGCAAATTTTCGAGCTCCATCGAGCGAGTGCACCGAGCAAATCGAGGGTGACGATGGACATTCGGCATATACTCGATCATACACACATACGTCTAATTAATTAACCGCCGATCGCATCGATCTTCTCGCGCGACGGTGACGCTCCCTTCCCGGGAAATCGCGGATTCGGAAGAGCACACGCGCACTACTGTTACTACTACTACTACTACTACTATTACTACTACTATACGGTCTCCCGTCCGTCTCCGTTCGTTCGAGCCGCGCGGTCCGCTCGCGTGTCGCTTTCGATCATCGCGGAGCAATTGTGTGTGACACAGGTCTAAACACTGACCATTAAGAAACACACAAGAAACAAACGGGCAGCCCGGCAGAATTGTCGCGCCGTGTGCGCATTTGCGGGATCTCTCGTGTCCCTTCGTTTTAAGGTTCTCGATGATCCCGGCAGAAGCAAGGTGGGTGTTCAGAATTTATTTACCTACAACTAATTGCTCGTCGTTCAGCCAGCTCGGGATTAAAGACTGTCTCTCCTGTTATATATATATACACATATATACACATATATATAATATATATGTATTATATATATTTTATATATAGTATATATATATATATATATATATATATATATAGTTTTTTTTTTTACTGTATTTGTCTTCTCTGTCAACCGGGAGAGAAACAACGCGCTCATATCTCAGTCCCCTTCTCCTACGTTTCTCACACTACCGATTTTTCTTCTGTCTCTCCCTTCGAGCCGAAGCAGAATCGTCCCCCCCTCCCCCTACCCCCCCACACCATCACCCATTCTCTTATCATCGTCGACCCGTTTCTCTACTTCGCGGTGAGGAAGCTACTAGGAGTAATCACGGCGGCTTTCGCGGCCGCTCTCTCTCTCTCTCGCGCGAGGAGAAGAGTAGCGCGTCGAAGTAAGGCGCGCTCGACATAAACGGGAGATCATTCACGGTGATGAAAGGAGGCGCGTTGTACCACGGCGCAACGTGACAACGTGCGCCCAGCTGTTCCTCTTCCTCAGGTTTTCCGACGGTTCGCGACACACACACTTTTACGGTTTCGTGTGTGCGTGCATGCATTCCGCAGGCGAAGGAAAGAAAAGGAATCGCGAACGAAAAGACGCGGGTTTCATGCGTCGGTGTGTGAATTCGTAGGCTTGTAAAGTCACAACGAAACGACTACAGGGTATTTTAGTATTAACGATGAGTAATAATCGTAAGTTTCCTCCTCGCGCACGTATCCGAAACTTCGAAATTCCGAGATCGGGAGGGCAAACGGCGAACTCTTCGGCGCCGTGTTCGTCTCAGCGCGGTTTTGTCTTCCGCGGACTCTTCGGGAAATTGTCGATCGATTCTACCGGCCGATGGTTGTTAAAGAAGAACAAAAAAAGAGAGAGAGAGAGAAAATGAAGAAAAGGCGAAACACGGACCGATATCGCGAATCGGAATACGAACGGAGGAGGGGTATCGTGCCGAGCGAACACAGGGTATCGATTTTAGTGATTATACGCGAGCGTTACCTTACAGGCATTTCGTCTAATTAGCGTTTAGGACGGTAGATTGTACGAGTGCATTTACACGGTAGGACAGCGGAGGCAGCGAGGACGCTCGAGAGAACGCCGCTCGGGCGACGGTCTAGGTATTAATAAACGTAGAATTAAGCTCGCGTGGCTCCGCTCCGGAGAGAAATGCGGCGAGATCGGGATCGCTAGTTTTTCCCCTCCCCGCTATTTTTGTACTCGACTATGACTCTCTCATATGTGATTCACTCTCGCCAGGGGAGGAAAAAAAGCGAGCAAGCGGTCGGTTGCGAGCGCGCCGTGTTTCTCGGCGTCGAGAGTCGGCGGCGACGTGGCGGACGATCGTCGCAGCGGAGCCACGTGGAACCGTAGAAACAGTATTACGCAACCGCATGGCAACCGTCGTACAACTACCATTGCAGCGTGTGCAGGTTCGAGCCGAAACATTCCAAAGATCGTGAGACATCGATTTGTCCGCTAGGCGAGTAAACTGGGGTAAATTCGTTAGAAAATAGCCGTAGATAACCCGCCGACGTGATTTATTTCACTTCTACCGATCCGCCGATCAATCGCGTGTGTGTGTGTGTGTGTTTGTGCGCCATGACACTCCACTTTAGAGACATAGAGAAAGTAGGCTTACTCTCGGCAACAAATTCACTGAGTGAGAGGTGGAGAGAAAGATAAAGACACACATTCCGCGGGAAATAGCGACATGAGAAAAAGTAGCGACCTAGAACCGTAGTGGTACTCGAAATCGTCACGCGAGTTGTTTTTGTGTGCATGGACGATCGAGTGCGTGTGTTGCATGCACACACACTCACGCTCTCTGTCTAAAGCGAGACGCACGGAAGAAATCGGCATCCAGATAGCAGACGGAGGAAACCAGACGGACGATCGGAAGGAGAGAGAGAGAGAGCGGATGATGGATGATTCGCGCGATGAGCGGCTGCGAGCGCGCGCGAGGGCGACGAAAAACTGAATGTGACGAGCGCGAAAAAGGGGGAAATGATTATTTTCCGGGGGGGGGGCGCGCGACGTTGTGCGCGACGGATAGAAATTTCATATGCGAACGGACGAGCGAGCTCGCGCGAATTTTGTACGCGCCACGACGGAGGCCGGAATGATATTCGGTTTTGTCGCTCCGTCATGACACGCGCGTATAAATATCATCCGAAATGCCGAGCTTCCGAAACCTCGCGAGCGATCGCGCCCTCCTCGCGTGACCCCCGTGCGTGAATCGCAGCCGATTTGTGATTTGGTGTGTGATTGTTTTGCACGTGTGTGCCGCGTATTATATTTCTCTCATATTTAAGCTAAGTGGTACGATCGAACAAGGTGTGATTCGGTATCGACGGCCTCGGACGGACGAGGGCGGCAAATCGTTAATCGATACCACCGTGATAGAGGGAGGGAAGAGCGAGCGGCGGCGCTTCTTGCCGCCGCACGCCGAAACAAATCTGCGCGACGCGCAGGAGAGAGCGAATCGATTTGTCACACTTCAGTCAATAAAGAGGAATTTTTACTTTCCGTACATCGTCGAGAGAGCAGTCAATCGAAAACCGATTCTTGCGATTTGCACGATCATTGCATTGCATGCATACCCGCCGGTCGCCGAAGAGAGCGAGAAGGAAGCGCGGGGGCGAACGAGAGGCGGACTTTCCCCGTGAAATATTAACGCGCGTTTATTTACACGCCTAAGTTTTTCTCTGCGTCGCCGGTGACTTACACGCGACGGCTCATTCTTTGGAATCTCAGGGTCGGTGTTTGAGTTTGCGGGGAAGCCGGTCAGCAGTCGCCGCAGCCGATTCGCGGAGTGGCCGGAAAATGAAAATTCGACGAAAGGCGCGCAATTTCACTCGTTACGGCTCTATCCGTCTTCTTCCCCGTCTTTTTCTCTCGATTTCTATTCCTCCCCGGCTGTTTAACTACGCGATCGCTCCGTCGACGGTATTCATTTCGCGCACTTCCCGGTCTCTTCGCGAAAATATCTCGCCTCCGTTCGCCTCTGAACTTTCCGCTACGAATAGTCGGGATATTTCCGTCGTCGCTCCGTTCCTCCATTTATTCATCGAGAACGCTCATCGTCGTCGTCGTCGTCGTCCTTGTTGGGCGGTCTCGCGGGTCTTCGGCTGTCGCGGAATCACGCTCGCGAGAATATGATCGGCAATCGCGCCCGCCTTTGTCCTCTCGAAACTATCTCGTCTTCGCGATCTCCGTGTGAGTACGCGCGCGGGGAATTTTCCGCGTCTCGTGGATCGCCTCTCTTTCTCCGGTCAGCCGGAAATTCGGCCATCGCGGGTGACGTTCGAAAGGACAGCTGTAGACGTAACGACACAGTGCGGGCTAACGTAGAAAGGAGGAGCCGGAGGAGGGAAGAGCGAGTGCCCGAAGGAAAGCCGGAAGTCGAGGTCCTTCCCGGACCTCCTTGTCCCTCACTCTGTCCGCGCATTTCGCGACGATATTACTGCACCCGTCCCGCAGTTTCCCCGTAGCATTCCGCTTCTCCTAACAATTTTCATTCCATTTCATACCGCTTTCCCTCGTCCACCTCCCCCTCTTCCTTCGGGCCGGCTCTTTCTTCTTTCCTCCAATTTTACGCCGCGTCAGAATTCTTTCACTTCACAGTCACGCTGTCGCGGTCGCGCGGGGAAACGTGCGAGGAAAATTGATATCGCCGCCGTTGCCGGGAAAGAAAAAGACCCGCCTCGCCGGACGCGCGCGCGCGCGAGCGAGACTTTATTGCCTTCGCGCGTCCGCTGCGAAGGGCGCGCGACACGTTCCGACAAAAATTCGGTAATGTCGAGAGTTCGGGCCGCGGTTGGTCGACTCGTGTAGAAA